AAGAAGACACCTCATGTAGGAGACATTTGATGTCATCCTATAAAGCCAATTGTCTTGAAATCCTTTTATCAAGCTTAAAAACAAGATGAGTAGACAACGAGGAACCATACATAGGAGAAAGTGAAGAATTATATATCTTTGTTCTCAAGCTTGCTGCCCCCCTTTACTGAAACAACTATTCGCACAAATAAAATCTTGAAACTTCTTGAAACTGGCCATGATGATGATTAGGGAGATATTTGACCGTCCGTTGGTACGCAGATTATAGGAGAGTATATGTCCATCTCCGGCAATGCCTGCGAATGACTCTTGAACATGGGCCGACTATGATCTATGATTTTCTATGAGGCAAAAGTAGTTGCATGCTTATTGCTAATAGAAAAGCCTCAAAAACTTGAATAAAGTACTCGAAAATTTTGAACAAATACTACTCGACTAATACACCATTCACTTTTCATACAATAACCAAAGAACAAAAGGCATAAACTTTTTATAACAATATATTGATACACCATCTGTAAGCTGTCATAACTAAATACTTTCCCGTACAAGAGAGAAATTCATCTTTTACTTACTTTTCCTATTTCCTGGACTACTAGGAGATTTCTGGCTCATCTTGGCTTCAAGTTTCTTATAGTGTTTTAAAGCAGCTAGCTTGTGGCGCTGGTGACGGCTTTTCCTTTTGCTGCATAGATGATAGACGTGAACAAATGGAATATCAATAGCCAAGAAAAGGAAAAACAAAAACAAAACAAAACGAAAACCGATCCACCCTAGCTACACTAACAATGGTAATCCCCCATCAAAATTTAGAGTTGTATTACTAGCACTATAAAAGAGGCAGTAGGAGAGTGCCAAACCTTACAAACAACAGGCCTGCTGTAAGAACCAATCCTCCCACGGCCCAAGAAACTCTTTCACTAAATGGCATTTCCCTCCACCTCTGCTGGAACTCCTCTAGTAGCCTCAAGCTCTCAACTTTCTGGGGCACCTCAGACTGTGAAACCTTCCATGAATCAGAAATCAAATCAAGACTGGCTTTACCACCATAGCAAAATGCTTCTCCCTTCCTCACAGTTATATCATCTTTAACGGCAAACCCTGCAGCATGGCAGAACTCTGTGCCATTAACGATCCATTCAGAGGCCCTACCACAAACATAATCATTTACTCCACATGGTGCTAGAACCTGGCAGAAAATACTTGATCAGAAAAAATAAGGGAGTTTCACTAAAACACCCAAAATGGAGGTTGAAATTATAAAAAAACCCAACACCCAAAACACTTTATAAACACACCCAAAAAGTTGACTTTGGGGTTGATTTTGGGTGTGTTTCTATGTTTAAATAGTGCTTGGGTTTTTTTATAAATACATGTCTAGGATTGGGTTTATTTATAAATTTGTAAAAAATAATTCCCTAATGCATCTGGAAGGAGATAATTGTAATCACCTATTCCTTCATTACAACAGATTATAATGGATTTGGCTTAAGTTTAATAGTCACCTGCATACCTGTGTTATTGCATCCGTAGAGTAGTACGCCTCGGCACAAGCCTTAAAGACCCTGTCACAGAAAGAGGCACATATAACTGGAGGTCCTGGCTGCACACCAATGCGGGGATCACAGATGGAACATTCCAGTAATTCCCATAATTGCAAGCACTCTGGGTTAGCTTCTCCTGTTGAAGCCAACTTCCTAACGGATACCAGTGCAGGATGTGTCTGGGATACATCACAGCAAGTTTTTTTGCGGAACACCCTGCAAAGGGTCAGATCTTTGGGTCCCTTGTTCACCCGTCTTGGAGGCTTTCCCTCATAAGAGAATGGTGGGAAACGACCACCTTGGGAAGTGCATACTTTGTCAGGTTTACCTGCATTAAACAGATTTAGATAAAACTTAATAAATAGTTCCATATAATTATTAATGAAAAAGAAAAACTTGAAGGAAGAGTTAACAAATTAGTCTAATTTCTAGGCCAGCATTACATTTTTAAAAATGAGCAATTTAAGCATACACCTGTAAGATGTGATGAGGCAGTGAAGGCAGACCAAAGATCACCTTGTGTAAGTTTCAAACACAAGCATGCCCTTCAAGACTTGTGAAACCCAAAGATAATTTGCATAGAGGCCTAGCTTTAAACTGATTCTAGCATATCTCAGCTTCCCACAAGCTGTGTCAGAAGCATTGGCCATGCCAGAATGACCTTTCATATGAAAAGTTATATGCTTTGACAATTGACACTAAGCTAGTGTGAGAAAAAATGAAACTATTTCATGTTGCAGTTGTCAAGTTTAGACACAGGTGTCCATGTTAAAGCCATCGATACAAAAAGACTGCTTCCCCAAGCGGTAATATAGTGATGTTTGCATGTGCTAGACTAAAGTATCCCCAATCAATGCAAAAGAAGGGAGCTTTCAAGATTGAGACGACAAATAGAAATTCATGATATCGTTCATTTTCATCTAAAGCCGGACTAGTATGAAAAAAATGTTCTGTGCATAATTTAAGCAAAGAGGTTCGCTATCATCAACAAAATCAACAATTATGAGTAAGCAAACTGCAAATCTGATAGGAGACTGAAAAACCCAAATAAGAAAGTGAAATTTATATCTACCGGAGGAGAAAGGGACCAGTGAATTGATAAGCAGCAGCAAAATCAGAGACGCATGACCCATTTTTCGTCAATCCGTGGTGGTGGTTTGCATTATTGAGCTGCTGAAAGACTCGGAATCAGAGAATGGAAGACTCTGTTCTGTTCCATCTTGACGAAGCTGAGGCAAAGAAAAACCGACTCGCAGAGAAGAGAACGGTGGCTGCGGGTACCCGATAACCCGATTATGAAAGGTCCGTGGTGTTGGACAAATTGAGCCCAAAGGAAGAGTTGGGTCCATGTTGCACAAAAAATCTGAACAGAATTCAGGCCCATATTAATCTGGCTTTACTTTTGGAGTGCTTCTATAGTGAGTGGAAAGTTATAAGGGGT